TGAGTTAAAAAAAAAAAAAAAAAAAAAAAGAGAGAGAGAGAGAGAAAAAAAATGAGATGGACCTTTGTCCTTGACCATAACTTCCATTTCTCTTGAAATGGTTTCGTCCCATTTAGTTATTGCCATGTGGAAACCATAATCGGTGATCGATCTTTCTGCCTTTTTCACATAAGACTCGAGGCCTGCTGATAAACTCCCATTCACTGGAATAACAAAATCGATATGCATTGTGGTCCCACCAGCCAATGCAGCAGCCTGCCCGCTGAAAAAATCGTCAATAGTTTCGGTGCCCATGAACTCCATGGCCAAGTGTGTATGTGGATCGATACCTCCTGTCATCATACACGAGGCAAACATTCAAAGGGTTTTAATAGGATTGCATAAGAGAACCTCAGAGTCCTTCAAATTTAATCATAAGGAAGATTCATATTTAGTTCTGAAATTATCTTTCTAATAAATTATCACCTTCTAATGACATATAAAGCGTAAAAAATGTCATCTTTGCTTACAAAATGAAAAAAAAAAAACATGCATTTAAAAATGTTGTAGACCAGAAAAATCATCTACTAATGAGGTACTCCCTATGTCCGACAAAGATTAGTAGCATTACAATTTCAGAAGTCCCATAAAGATAGGCGTGTTGATAATTTAGTGTGGAATTTTTATTTTATTTTTTATTTCCATGTATTCCCCAACTCAATTATCCCAGGACCATACTAGGATGTTTATCTCGATTAGCATCCACAGAAAACCGAATTGTCAATGGATAAACGATAAAGTGTAATATATTAACTGTATTAAAAAAAATCATCGGTTTAAATGTAAAAGCAAGCATAATTGATGCATATGGCGTTGATTTTAGTGGCGGAAGCCGCTCTCTATTTTAGACATGCTAAGCATAAACAAAATTTATTTCTAATGCCAGAAGATAAGTTGCTCCATATGAATATATACTTATAAATAACATATGGATAATCATATGCTCTAGATTATGAAACTGGCCAACAGGTAGTTTCATTTTCAGAACTGAATACGGAAATATACCTGGCATGACATACTTTCCAGTGGCGTCAATAATTTTAACATCATCTCCAACCTACACATCCACACATCAGAAGATATATATAAAAAAAAAAAATCAGGCTCAATATTTATCATCGTTTCATTTGCTTGGCAAGCCCATTGGTCCATGAATAGTGTGCACAGTGATTAGAAACAGCACTACCACGGATGATGAATGTAAAAGCATTCAACTAAAACAAGACAACAATTACATTGTCAAATGCATAGCCCAGAACAACTTTTCGAAGAAAGGAAACTTTCAGAGAAACTGTTTAGTCAGTCTTCCTCATGTTTCAACACTAAAGCAATAATCTCATTTATATACGACATGTAAACTTACACTGCCAACCAAAGATGGAATCAGGAAGTATGTGTAAAAGAGTGAATGTGTGTGTGTGAAAATTTTCAATTCGCCGTTTCAATTTCTATTTCGACACTCTTAAATTCGCCGTTTCGCACATGTAGTCATCCAGCTCACTAGTGAGAAGGATGTAGTGAAGCAATTTTTTCAAACTACAAATCATATCATCCAACAACATTAATGCACCAATTTACCACAATATTGTTCTGTACAGCGACAATGATTCCATCTTCTATGTACACATCGGCAATTTCTTGATGATGGGCATTCACAACAGTACCTCCCTTTATCAAAATCTTTGAAGGGTAAGCTGGACCAGCTCCACATGCCGACTCGCCATATGCAATCCCAGCATCACAAAACTACACACTTAAAAGTAACACTATCAAAACCAAATTGGTAGCCATAAGCATACATTTCAATTCATGGGTATTCACCAGAACCCTTTTCAAATGAAAGCCAAATACTTTTAGGAAAACTAATCATGGACAGTTGAACAACAAAAGAATAAAGATCAGGAAAAAGAAACTAAAAAAAAAAACAGTCAACGGTATGATTGTATGCATCAATAGAACATCTTGAGCACCATATAATATTGAAAGATGCTAAACAGATAACACGAAACCCTTGCTTATGCTAGAATAACGTAAGACATTAAAACTCAAAATCATTCACTCCATAGACATTCAAGAATCCATCCACAACAGAGAAGATAACATACCTGGTTGCACTCGGAGAGCGGCGAGAACAGTGAAAGGAAAATGATGGTGAGATATAAACAACAATTCCTGGGAGCAAAACAAAAATCCATCTTTTCGTCTCGTTAGATAGTTTTTGGGTGTGATCGAGAGAGATGGGCAGAGAGATTGAGTCCGAGAGGAATCTCACTACTATGAAAATGGAATCTTTCAGTATCTATCTATAGATATGCACAGTAGTACAGTGATCATGAACTACCAGTAGGGATGTAAATGGGTCGGGTCGGGTACGGGTTTTGGCAAACCCAGACCCGACCCGTGTATAAATTACCCTACCCAAACCCGACCCGTTACCCGGTTAGTGATCTTCGGGTTCGGGTTGGGTTTTACCCGTCGGGTTAGCGGGTTTTCTTCGGGTAAACGGGTAACCCGAGTTCTTAAATTTTGGCTTTACACGACCCATCTCGTTTGATATGAAAAAATAAAATAAAATAATTTTACAATTAGTTATAATGTAACAAATAATTTATCAACTAAGTTTGACAATAAAAACTATAAAAAAAATATATTATTTTTGAAATAAATAATAAGATATAATTATTTAACTTTTATAGTCTATTTAATAATATAACACTTAAAAATTAAGTATTTAATTTTTTTATTGTACAATTAACAAAAAATGATAATAAAATAATAAAAATATAATAAAATTTAACCATTAATCAAAATTATAATAAATAATATAATTTTTAATATTAATAACACATGAATACTTTTATATTTATAATAAGTTACAAATATATACTTATATATATTTATATGTAAAATTCAATGTGCGGGTAAACGGGTAGGGTAATCGGGTCGGGTAACGGGTTTTTCTACTATACCCGCACCCGACCCGACCCGGGGTTCGGGTAGCATAATTCTACCCGAACCCGACCCGAAGCCCGACCATCACGGGTTTACCCGACCCGAAAATGCGGGTAACCCGCGGGTAACCCGACCCTACGGGTTTTATTGACATCTCTAACTACCAGGGTGTTTGAGAAAAATTTAATGCGGCAACAAAGAAAAATTATAAATAATTAAAATAGAATAAAATATTTGTAGAATTATTTTAAATTATACAAAATATTTTGTATGATATATTATTTGCTTTGTTTAAGATATATTTTTTTTTTTCAAAATTAAATAGAATAATTAATTTATTGTGCAGTCACCCGAGAAAAGCAGGAGTCCATTAAAGTAAAATAAAATATTTGTAGCAAAAGAAATAAGTAAAGAAATTTATATTTTTATAATATAATGATAAAAAAATATATAAGTATATTTATTGTAAAATATATTTCCATTGCATAGTATGTTAAATAGACTATAAAGTCTTGAGATGCAAATTAGAAAAATCTCCTGATTATACAAGGATTTCTTTTTTTGGCAATTGCTAAATCAAAAATTTTTAACTACGTTGAAAAAATTAAATTCTAAAAAATATGTGTGTATTTTGTAAATATTTATAGAAAATATTTTATTTTAAAATTATTTATATAAATTTAAATTAATTACATTAATAAGTAATATTTATGTACATTAATATTTTTCATTACATAAATTAAGAAGAATAAAATTACTTCTATAACTTTTATAAATATTAATAATGGCATTATAAGACAACAAATTTTATACTAAAATAATAATTGAGTATTTTAGGGTAAACTAGAATAAGAACAACTTTTATTACTAAAATAATAATTGAGTATTTTAGGGTGAACTAGAATAAGAAAAATTTTTATTTTTTCTTATATCAATGAATAAATATATATTCTAAATCAAACTTATATTAGTAATATATTAATTAACATGTTAACGTTCTGATTAAAATAAGTATCACTGATTAATTCAAAGAGGTAAAAAATAGATGATCTAACCCTACTGTTTTTTGTGCATAAACGGACATGGTCTATGAAAATGACTCATTTAATATATGTGTCTCGTGCATCGCACGAACTATCCACTATTGAAACACTACGAGACAAGAAAATAAATTAGAAAAATATACAATAATCTTTATGTAGTCCTTTTCTCTTATTGAGCTGAAACCATCACTAGGCGGCTCAAGTTTTAGAGCGTGGAGGATATCGACAATTCTAGTAGTCGTCGGATTAAAGATACGAGTAAATTTTTACTTCCGCTAAATAAAAGTCAGTCTTATATATATTTATATATATGTTATATAAAACCACTAACGACCGATTTGGCCAACCACTTTCGGTCCAATTTGTACAACCATGAAAAAATAGTATGTATCCAAAAACATGAAGTGGCCGGTGAGAAAACAATTGGGAAATGACCTGTCAACCAAGTGATTGTGATGATCATATTCATATGGTGACACAAGTCTTTTACTATGATAATGATACATGCGTATAGGTAGGGGACCATACTCAATTGCTTACCTCTAGGCCGCGTATCAACAACGTTCAGCCCACCAATAAGTTTTAACTTTTCAAAGTATTCATCTATGGTGCAACAATTCCAAACACTATCCATTATTTATCGTTAAATTTCTTGTCTTCAGCTTACTCATTTTCCCACTTCGAACTTCTCTTTAAATTTATAAGTTACTCAATTTTCCAAAAGCCTAAAGTTGTGGGATGTATGAGTGGCTCCTTTGGTGTGAACATATATGCTTTTGTTTATTGATAGATAACCATCCAATCAGACAAATAATTCCATAATTGGTTTTGTCATGAAGTATCTGGTCATCTATCAGCCATTACTCTAATGCATGCTTTGTTATGCAATTAATGAATGGAGTATGGACATGTTCAAGTCATTTAATTTAGCTAATAAGTAATAAGTCTTTAGTAAACTTATTTTGAATTTCTTAATTAAGGAGATCAAAATTGTACCATCTTCATTATGATCATTAGTGATGAGAAAATACCTCCAACCCGATAATAAATCGAAGATGAACTGTGAGTCGTTTGTGTACGTCCTCGTAACCCTGCAAAATACGTTGGGAGTTCTCGTCGGAAAACCTCGGACGCTCGAGTCAGTATTTGTCTCACGAATCGTATTATTTGAAAGTGTATATTGGTCTTAATCTTTACAAACCAGAGACATCACCTATATATAATACCTTAACCCTTCATCGAACAACTTTGTTATGGAAAGACTTGGGCAAATTTGTGCGACCTACTCAGTAGTCACAATCTGTCCTACACGATATGTTCTTTAGGTTGTATACCAAGTTCCCCGACATATACGTGTTGGTTTAGAAAGGTCCCTTCAGAGCTCACCTCCAAGCTCTCCTTGGTGCATTTATAAATCAAGTCCCGATACCTTTGAACTGGCCTACTAGATATCTCCCACTATCCCGGTTCATCGAGATGTTAGGGGTGCTACATCGCCATTTACCCCCATTATCGAACATCTATAACAAGTTTGTGCAATAATTTAATATGAACCTTATATGTTGTTGGTATATGTGTCCTAGAGACAATCTTTTTTAGGACATATATAGATGATCACATTAATAATTGTATTGAATTATAATTATGGTATTGCAATTAATTAAAAAATTGTTTGATTGTTTGTAATTTATTAATTAATTGCTCCGTTGAGTTAATACTGTCATTAACAGAGTGAGATGTTAAATGATAAAGTATAACTCTCAAATCGCCTCAATCGATGATCATTAAGAAAGGGATATTGATGATATGCGATAGATTGACATGTGGTCTGCACTACATTCTTGGAGAATATAGTATGTCTTACTGCCATGAATAATTGTTATTCGTGATGGACACATAGATATTTTGGAGAGTATTGACATACCCTATCGATAAACCATTTGTTTATGTGTCTATCGGAGTATTGGTGTGTGGTGAATGATGTAATAGTCTTTTGACTTGAGGTCAATACGCAATTCATGTATAGAGTGATTTACTTAGACCTAGTCCAAAGCTTACGCCCTTATGGGTAGATACGGGCTTGTGTTGGGTTGGTCACGATATACATGGAATTGGTAGTTGAGCCAAGATAGGATTCATTCCTCGAATATAGTTTCGAGAGGACCCTCGTTTTCTCTATACTGGGTTGATAAAGTCATTGGCCAATGCACGTGATTATATTTGAATGGTGTTCAAATATAATTGATAAAATCAACCAGTGAGATGAAATAAAATGATTAAGCTATTTCGATAGATACACGTTCAAATCCTAAGCTTAATCGAGTGGTTCGTGAATGAAAGGACTGTATCACTATTGAATTCTACACCAAAGGTTTGTTTGCTTTGTCTATGTAACGTACTTCATATTTTGAGTTCGTCCTTCAACGCAATCTACACCAAAGACTGTATCATTATTGAATTCTACACCAAAGGTTTGTTTGCTTTGTCTATGTAACGTACTTCATATTTTGAGTTCGTCCTTCGACGCAATCTAGAAGTTTTGTAAGGATCATAAATTAGATTTGTGTCAATATATGAAGGCCTATAGGGTCATACAGTATGCAATCTATTTTCCGGCTAAGAGTGAATCGAGAGTGTTAAATATTCCATTAGATCGGAATATTTATTTTTTGAGTAATGAGATTATTTTCTATTAGATAGAAAATATTTAATTAAGTTAAATTGGACTTACACTTAATTAAATAATTAATTGGATTGGGTCCAATTACCTACTGTGCTAGGTTATCCTAAAGCCCATATAATTAGGTTTAACCTAATTATAAATAGGTGGTTATCTCTTTATTAGATGAGAAGATCATTAGATGAGAAAAGGAGATACGCCGTAAAACACAAAACACTCTCTGGCTTTTTTTATTGAGGATTCCTAGCGTCTTTACCAAAAAGGATTCATTGCGTTGGATCGTGCACTGGGATCTGGATTGCGTGAATACCATAGTTGAAGACAAAGCTTAAACTGTAAGTTTCCGTGTATCATTCACGCGATCTAGGATCGTATCGAATAGCTATAGCCGAATCTTCGTTGTTGGTAAGAAAATTTTAAAATTCTGCTGCGCGTGCGATTGATTCGTACGTCGAAAATCTCTATCATAGAAGGGATTGAGTTTTTGGCATTTTCTAAATCAAAGTTGTTTAATTAGTATACAAAATTAAATTCTAAAAAAACATGCGTATATTTTATAAAATATTTATACACTATTTAATTTTAAATTTATTTACATATTTTAAATTGATTACATAAATAAATAATATTAACGTGCATAACTTCTATAACTTTATAAAGAATATTGAAATTATATGACAACAAAATTTATAATAAAATAATAATTAAGTATTATATGGTGATCAAGAATAAGTAAAATTGTTATTCTCTCTTATATCAAGGAATAAATATATATATATACTAAAATCAAATTTATATTAGTATAAATGTGTTAGTGAAATAATACATTAATTATTTTACAAGTCAGCCCTAACATGTTCATATTTAATGTTTTGACTAAAAAAACAACACTGATTACAAGAGGTGCAAAATAGATTGTAACCTTATTGTTTATTACAGTTAACGCTGATTAAGAGAGATGAAAAATAAATGATAACCTTATTGTTTTATATACTAAAACGGACAAAGCCTGTAAAAATAACTTATTTAATATTTCTATCTCGTGCATCGCACGGAGTACGTACTAGTCCTTAAGATAATGACACACATTTGTTAAACTAATTGCAGAATTTCTTAAATTGAAAGTACAATAGCTTTGACCAGAAAAGAAGAACTTTCTAAAAACAATAAAATACAATAACCTCTTTCAATTAGTATAGATACTAGAGTTGTAGTGAAAATTATTTTGCACCTATTTTCACTGTAGTCTGAACTTTGGCATGGAGTATTTATTAGCCCACTAATACTAAATACAAGTATCCAACTACCCAACAACTGAACCACTCTTTAACTAAATACAAATAATGCAAGAACTGTTTGTAACTTTAAACATAGTTGCTATTGATGTAAATACTTATGTAATTCATTGTTTATAGATTTATTGAAAAGGGATTTCTTTTATGACTCAGGTTTAAACTCTTGTCTTCATGTTTAAACTCATGTTTATCAAATCTTATACAATGCTTTTTTAAGTATTCGAGTGCAACATATTGAATCACGTATCACATGTGGCTGGTGGTTATTTATCCTTGAACAATGGTCGATAGGCTATGCAAGACAGGATTAGTCGTCTATTATTATCCAATTTCTTTTTCTTTTTCAGAAGTAACATTAATGGGCCAGAATTTGCTCGTGATCTACATATAAAAGAAAAAAAAAAGATTTTTTTTCTTTAATTGATGGTTGTTCAACCAAAAACTATCCTCACACACGTTACTCGCACCAAAATAGTGTAGGTGTATATAAATAATCTTTATTTACTTATATTTTCTATTCTCAACTTGCACCTGACCATTCTTGAAATTTGCAATCAAAATTGTATTTGAGAGAAAAGAAACAAAAAGGGTTTCTTGTGGGTGGAGGAAGAATAGTTTATGCAGTCTTCTTTCACCCCCAAATTTATCCAAGAGGTTCTGCATTTTTTCTTGATACAAGATCAAAATTTTATGCAATAGCTTTATTTGTTTCATTTGATACTCAACCCCTTATTTTTTTTATCTGCGCTTCCTTTGAAGATTTATCCTCGATTCAGGCATTTTGTGATCCGAGGAGAGTCTTTGTTGTTGAAAAATTGTTCTTTTTATGAATCCATTTGTCTGAGTTTCTCATGTGAACACTTGGAGCAATGATAGATTAGCCCAATTTAAAGTTTTCTTTGTTCTCCGAATTCTTTTCAATTTGTCATGTGTATTATATGTTGTAGATTGTCTTTTTGGGTTATTATTTGTAGTTGAAAGCGAAGATAGATATTTTGTAGTTTACCTGGAGTGGATTCTTACACAGTATACGGATAATCCTCCTGTAATAAGTTTGAGACGAGGCCCACAATTTAGGTTGGGTGGGCTTCGTCTGTAGCCAATAGGATAAATTTCTGTTTGTAGAAATTTGTAAATCCCTTTTCTCCTCCATTTTATGAGGAGAAGGAGAAGCAGAGGAGGAGAATATCAAAAAAGGTTCATCATTTCATATATGTATCCTCTCCATTATTGACTGGCCTAACTTTTTTTGCTTTTTTTATCCCTTTGTCAAACTCACTTTTAATATTATCCCAAAATATATATTTGTGTATGACTATAGCTTGAAGTCCTAGCCGAAATGCTTTTCTTCTTGATCACTTGCTCCTTTTCCTTCATTTTCTTCTACAAGTCCCTTGTCCTCAAGCCTCTCCCTTCTTGGGCTTGTGAGATGAGAATGCTTTCTCTCTTGTTCTTGAAAGACTTCTCCTTTTTTTCTCTCACCAAGTCCTTACGAAATACTGTCTTAAGTGTTGTTTCCTCTATTTTCGCTTCACTAACGTTATCTAAGAAATCGGTCTTTTGTTCTCAAATTAAGAGTTTAGAGAAAACACCTGAGATGTCCTTATTGGATTTGCCGGACCTCGTTTTAGAAACAATTCTCGAGAAGCTTCCGCCTGAGGGGCTATGCAAAATGGCATGTGTGTGTACCTCTTTTAGGGATTGGTGTATGAGTGATCACTTGTGGGAAAAGCACATAAAGAATAAGTGGGCTAGAGTTGTAGGTCCTGCTGCATATATGGAATGGCAGTGGCAAATTGCTTTGGGTAAAGGTTCGGCCTTTTTCGGTCAACACAAGAACAGGGGTCTAATGGGTTATCTCAACCACCTGTGGCCAGTTGTACTGATTAGGTCTAGTTTAAGGGGTAACATTACAAAGAAGACGAGTTTTCGCCCGAAGGTCTCCACTTCTATAATGTCGTGGTATTTTGCTCTTGAGTCTGGCAAGTTTTGGTTCCCAGCTCAAGTCTATAACCGAGAGGTATTGACTGTTCGGTTTCTGATCATTTTATTCATAATTTAGTTGAATGCCTTTTGTGGGGGGCATAAAGCTTTGGTTTTTGTTGAAGTGTATTTGTTGTTGGTCATTCTTGTGCAGAATGGTCATGTTGGGTTTATGTTGTCGTGCTATGATGCTGAGCTTTGCTATGATGTGAAGACAAATACTTTCCAGGCCAGGTGATTGAAGATATTATGATATATCAGTAATAAAGTTTGATTCTTTACATATTTCGGTAACTTTTAGAAGGGGTTTGATTTAATT